CACCCAGGGGTGCTTCTCAAAGCCCCCATTCTGGCTCCACCTCATTCTCGCCCCTCACGGCAGCCAATGAGAGCTTCTTGGCCACCCCAAAGCTTACAGATTCCAGAATGCTGTTCTGCTCTAGGTACTGGCTGAATCAAAAAATACAACCTCTAATGACCACTCACCTAAAAACATAACTTCTCCTCTGTCTTCGCACCAGATCCCTGCTGCACTTGTTCAAAGTCCCCCATGTAGATAGGCCCCAATTTTACCTTCAAAGCAGAGTCTATGTGGAATTCCTCTTACTACTCTCTGTTCACCCAGTTAGCTCTTTTTCCATTTTGGGAGTCCTGCTTGTTAGAGAAGCCTGTCCAGTTGATCAAAGAACAGCTGAAACTTTTCTCTCTTCCTCGATTTGGATTTAGAAATCACAAAAGTTACCTTCACCACTCTTGATCTTCTCTCCATCCAGCTTGCCAGGAATCCTCAGAAGTCCTATCTTTGTCCCCACAAAGTATAATTGTTTTTTCTGGGCCTGATTTAAAGTCTGTGCCATCCATTCAGATCTACAGTTAATGCTATACTTCTTCGGCTGTCTGCCATATGCTGTAAACTCTAGGGGAAACTGGCCTCCTGGGACTCTTGCAGATATGAGCAGCAAATGGAAAAATAAATATATATGCATGCATATACATGCACACACACGTACACATACATGCACGCAAATATGTCTCAAACACTACCAGGTATCCATCACCTGTTGATAATTGTGGTAGCCAGGTTTCCTCTCTTCCTAGTATTAACCCATTCAAAGCTACCAACTCTAGCCTGAGTTTCTGTATCAAGCAAAGCTCCAGTTCTAACTAAAGGAATTGAACTTCTGGGCTTGGGGGAAAAACTCCTAACACACCACAAAGCCAGTAGATGCAGAATGGCAGAAAGTATTATCTGCAAACACCCCCATGCCCTGAACCACCAAGATACCTAATTAGGCAATAAGGAAATGCAGAATGTTTCATATCATCAGTTTCAAAAATTACAAGAAACCAATTATCCCTCAGAGCCGTCACTAGTATATAGTGTTTCTCTAGGAAACTCCAATTTCCATCTGGGCACAATTCAAAACAGAGGGAAAGGAAAAAAATCAATACTGGAAATGTCAGAGACTTTTCCAGCCAGTGCCTGATGGACATCCATCTGGGCTTCTGCAGATCACGCAGCCTGTCTTCTCTGTGTGCAGACATGAGATAAGCACGATATTTCTACCTGCTTTCTCTTGGCCTCACCTGGAGTCATTTTCATTATTCCCCACTGAGAACATTCTGTGTTAAGTCTCACAGCATATAAAATGGGAATGTTCACTCTTAAAAGCAGAGCCACAGAGAGGGCTGTACCAGTGGCAAGCTCAGAGTTGAGGGTCAGGGTGAGGAGACAGACTTGACTGCTGAATGCAGATGCCTGGGCGTGGCCATCTAAGCCTCTGCATTGCAGAGCCCTGCACCCAGGAAGCCCATCTTTCACCTTCCACGACAGCCACATCCATGGTTTTGATGACTTGCCCGTCCACCCCTAGGTTCCATTCCTCATCTATCTCCAGGCCTTCTTTCTGCCTCCTTACTGGAGGAACACACTCTCTGGAGTCCCCTCTGACTTTCTCTCCTGACACAACATCTGACAGTTGAATGTGAAGGCTAAGCTCCCCTCTAACAAGGCTTCCCTCTGGGACGTGCCTCCTCATACAGAGATTTCTTCCGTAAAGTGAATGGCTTGAAGCCAGCCTATTTTTAACCCGTGCCTGGCAATGGGCTTTCCAAACCTGAGTCTCTCTTGGCCCACCTGCATGACTACAGCTAGAGACAGGGCCACCTACACGATTATTCTTTGCATGCTATTTTTCTGAAATCAATCCACTTTTTATACATGTAACTATGTTTAAAACAGAAACCATAGCAACATCATTTATACTAAGTGTAATAAATATATACGCATTCATATACGTGCACATACATATACGTGCACATACACGTACACATACATGCACAAAAATATATCTCAAACAAAACCAGGTATCCATGACCTATTGATCAATTCAAGGCCAATCACATGATCAATTCAAGGCCAACCAAATAATGTGAAGAAATCTTAAGTTCGAGGACTGCTCCCTCTTCTTCAAATAAGGGAGATCAGTAAGTCCTGGAGGAGGGAAGAGGATGCCATGGTGCGACTCAAGACACTCCTTAGCACAATCCCAACAGCAAAAGGAAAATAAAAGAGGGGAGCAGTTTCTAACCACGAGCTCTAACGTTATTTCATGTCATTGCACATATCACCTAAAATCATTTCAGTTATTGGTGGCAGACAATCACTCCCTCTTTCCCAAGAAGGTTTACTGAGCATCTATTATGTTCCAGAAACTTTGCAGGGAGTGGGGAACAAAACAGACTAAGAAAAAAAAAAAAAAAAGCTGTGTGTCCACATGACACTTAAAGTCTATTAAAACAACAACAACAATTGTGTCTAGGAGAGCCTTCTTTCCAGATCAGCACCTTAAATAAAGAAAACTTCTATTTAAAACTGTGAAAACCAGTCCTCACCCCACACCCCTGGCAAGAGACTCCATATTCACAAAGCAGCTTCTCTGATTATGTTCCCGATAGGAAATGACAAGTGGTTATTAGTTTTTAAGCAACTGGCATGCTTTGTAAGCAGTATTAACTGCCCCCAAAAACCTCAGGGCTTCCCAGATAAACAAGTCCCCACCTAAACACCCTTCCCTACCCGTCTTAGGGGTAACCCCCAGCGCCAAAAGACAAATGACATTTAAAATCTGATTGAAACCACACCAAACCATGGAGCTTTTAAATGTCAAGGAGGAAGGCAATTCAACCCAGCAGGTTTTTCCAGGACTGACTGAAAAACCACTTCTCTGTAGTCAGATTTTAAAAAAATCAATCAGTAGAGACAGCAAGAGAAGAGAGTGAGGCCAAGACTGACCTTTGTGTCAAAGGCAACTGACATGATTCACATTTGTGACTAATTATCTCTTTCTTCATCTTTATGTTTGTCTGTCCCTGAACAGGAGCTGTCTCCCAAGCAGCTGAGACATATGACCCAACTGAATTCCAGGATTCTGGTGGGTGTTGGTTTGTCCAGATGCAGAAGAGCTGGCCGTGTGTGTGTGTGTATGTGTGTGTGTGTGTGTGTGTGTGTGTGTGTGTGTGTGTAACTGACATGTCATTCTTTTAAAGTGCATATAAAAATTTAAGCTTCCTGAATCTCATAAAGAAAAATGATAAAAGGGTACCTGTACTGTTTTCAAAACCTAAAATCTCTTTAAACTGTCTTAAAGCATGCTCTATTTGGATACAGAATAATATTGCTAACCTGAAACCAAGATGTTATGCATTTGTATGCTACTTTCCCATTAAAAGAGATGGATTCCACCTTAGAATAACACATAGGCACTTATATAAATTTAATAAGCACTTTTTACAGTCTTAGTCTCTGCTAGTCACTGAGCACTTTTTAAAAATAACTTACTTCACAACAACCTTATGAGGTTTGGTCCTCTTACTGCTGTTTCACGGAAAAGGAAATACAGAGAGGTAAAACAACTTGCTCATGGTCAGACAGCTAGTAAGTGGCTATGCTGGGCATTGAATCCAGGCGCTCTGCCTCTAAAGGCACTACCCTCTACTGCCCCCTACACACTATGTATAGAGGGCTTTACATGTGTTATTTCACATAAAGCATATAATGACCTTATAAGGTATATTTTTATTCCCATTTCATAGATGAGGAAACTGAGGCACAGAGAGGTGAAACGGCATGCCCACTCAGCAAATGAGTGAGAATGGGGACTCTGACTTCACTAAGGTGCCATCCAGTTACTTCCTGTCACCCAGCACCTCCCCATTCCCTCTCCACCATATGCATTTGGTTAGTCACAAAAACAGCTTGTGTCTGTGAATTAGAAACTATTCTCTGATTGGTCCTGGAACCTTAAACTCACTAGCTTTATAACAACAATGTATAGACAGGGGAGAAGTCTGATTGTCTGGATCAGACAATGGATCCAGATGTGGTATGATTCAGGGTCCCCTTGGGGATCGAAACTCTTTCAAGGGATCCCCATGATCAAAACTATTTTCTCAGTAATACTAAGCTATTTGTTTTTCTCTTACATTCTCCACAAGTTTACCGTGGAGTTTTCCCAAAACTATATGACATGCAATATCATTACAAATTGAAAGTGAAGCAGATATAAGAATCCAACTGTTGCTGGGCGTGGTAGCTCACACCTTTGGGAAGCTGAGGCAGATGGATCACCTGAGGTTGGGAGTTCAAGACCAGCCTGATCAACATGGAGAAACTCTGTCTCTACTAAAAAAAATAAATAAATAAATACAAAATTAGCCAGGCATGGTGGCGCATGCCTGTAATCCCAGCTACTCAGAAGGCTGAGGTAGGAGAATCACTTGAACCTGGGAGGCGGAGGTTGCGGTGAGCCAAGACCACACCACTGCACCCCAGCCTGGGCAACAAGAGCGGGACTCCATAAAAAAAAAAAAAAAAAAATCCAAGTATCTTCTATGAAGCCAGACAATGCAGAGATCTCCTTACTATTTTATTCTGAGAGTTCTGTTACATAAAAATGTAATTTGTGCTAGTATGTAATAGGCTTATTACTTAAATGAATGAAGACCTATTTTAAAGCTCTTCAGGTTTAATTTCTATTATGGTAAAGTTAGACATAACCCAAATAAGCAATACATTTTACGAGTGTAAAGGGGTCCTGAGACCAAAATGCCTGAGGACAGCTGCATGGGCCTGCGATCTCCATCAGCTGCCGGGACACACGTGTCTGGTGCCCCTCTGTGATGCACAGCACACAGCAGGGACTTGGGATACGTCATTTTGGCTGTGGAAGGCATGTCCAGCTGCACAGCACTGGCCACCCCCTTTAGGCCCATCCCCCCACATGCATGATGACAGATGCTCAGATCCACACAGCTTACCTGAAAATAGTCTGTAATGAATGATCCAAGTTCACTCTTCAACAGCCGCCTGGGGAGAAGAGAAACACCGTCAAGCAGCCCTTGATTGTACAACTCATGGTGACAATGTGCTTACCAGTGGCCCGGGTTGGGGCCAGGCCTGAGAAATGGGGGGCACTTTCCTAGGTCCTGATCCCCTTGCCCCCATTTTCATCATGGAATTGCAGTGATGGAAATCCTAGAAGGAGATCCATTCCTCAGTTCACGCTGAGAAAGTAGCACTGTGAAGAGGGCAGCCAGCCACAGGAAATCCTAATTCTGGCAGAGCTGCTAGGGGCAGGCCAGGGCACCTGGCTTTATATGAAGCAAAGAGAAGGAAGAAAAAGGCCATTATTTTGGCACTCCTCCATGTTTGCAGAGCAAATGCGTAAACACATTTTTCATACATTCTTCAACCAAGGATTATAAAGTGTATTTGGGGAAAGAGAGAGGAGTAATTATTATTCTTCCTGTACAGATTTAAAAATTATGCCTCAGAGATTATGCCTCAGAGAGTTCCCCAAAACAAATCAGTGGCAGAGCCAAGATCTGACCCCAGACATCCCACAAATTCAACATCTTTTCCCATAACGCCACCCTGTCTCATCTCTAAATTCAGAATACCCCCCAGATCTAAAATTCAACTTGGTACCATGGTTTGGGTGGTCTTACCACCCAAGCCCAATGGACTGAGGCAGTCTTCAAAGGAGACCACAGCAGAGAGAACAGAGAGATTTTATTTATCCAGCAATGTAGATGCACTGAGTGAGTCATTATGTGTTACGTGTTGTTCTGGCACCAGGAGTACAAAGGTGAGTAAGACAGACAAAGTCTCTGCTCTCATGGAATTTCTCTTCTTGGGGGCTGGTGGATAGATAGCACATTAATAAATATACTCACAAGATGATTTCAATGATCTTAAGTGCTAATAAAATACAAATGGGGCCAGGCATGGTGGCTCACACCTGTAATCCCAGAACTTTGGGAGTTCGAGGCAGGCAGATCATGAAGTCAAAAGATCGAGACCATCCTGGCCAACATGGTGAAACCCCATCTCTACTAAAAATACAAAAATTAGCTGGACATGGTGGCGCATGCCTGTAGTCCCAGCTACTAAGGAGGCTGAGGGAGGAGAACTGCTTGAACCTGGGAGGCAGAGGTTTCGGTGAGCTGAGATCACGCCACTGTACACCAGCCTGGTGACAGAGCATGACTCCATTTCAAAAAAATTTAAAATTACCAATGGAAGATAGGGATATTGACACTAGCTCTCCTTCTCCTTGTGACAAATAATGGAACTATCTATACTATATTTTGATTCAGACAAGGTAAGGGAACTAAAAACAAGAATAACTGGCTTCCCAGATCCAGTGAGTTCCCTAGGGAGTAAACCCTTCATGACTTCAAATGATTTTCTTTACTCATCCCATTGGCTATGGTTATTAAGGAGCAAATGCTCAAGTTTCTGACAACCCTTGCTGAGTATTTACTCCCTCAAAACACGTTCACACATGTCACTGAAGGATAAACAGGACGTTACAGCAAGATGTTGTCATGTGCAGAGAAAACAGCACAATAAAATTAGACAAAAGAAGAGAGAACCACCCATGATTTGAATCTCTGTGCCAGAAAAAGCCCTGGAAAGCCACAAACACACATTGAACAAAGAAAATACCTTCCTTTTCCCAGGACAGAACATATGTCTGTTGTGGATGCTGCATTTTGAGAGCCAATTTAATGGCAGGCTCATGGAGGGCCACCCCATCAACACAACCCAAGGTTTCTCCCAGATGTGAGCAGGTGTGATTCAAGAGAGGGAAGCTTTCTTCAAAAGCCGCTAAGCTAACAGCAGGTTAGGCATCAGTATTCTTTGAGGCAGAAGCTAGAGGCGTTTCTCAGACAGGAAACAGCAACCTACAGGGCAGCCCCAAGTGGATGGAGGCTTTGAAACAGGAAGAGGTAAGGAGGTTGCTTCTGACCACAGGAGGAAGAAACACCTCCCTACAAGTCTTCATGGTCCTTGGGAAGGCTCAAAATCATATGTGAAGAAGCCAAGTTTTGCACTAAAGTGAAAAAACAAGTCCTAACAATGGGCTGCTTAGGGCAGAGCTTCCCAAGGAGATACCTTGAGTGCTCATGATGCTGCGGGATGAACGTGATTCTGAGATCAAATAAAATGCTGTGGAATTGGTGTCCCAAAGAACCCACAGTGGGAAAACACTCTGCTCATGAAGATGCCATGGGTAAGACTGAAAAAGAAAGAGGTCAGGGTTAAGGGGCCTTCAAGATAAAGAAAAAAAAAAAAAAAAAAACTATGGATACCCTCTTGGAGAGCAGCATGGAGGAGGGATCTATGCTGTGTAATAATTGTGAGTTTGGATATGATGGAACAAGTAAGGAGTGCCCTGGGGTAATCCAAGACATCTCCTCCCCTCCTATCAGGGAGGACAGGAAGGGGCTTCACTCTACCGGGAGGGTGGAAGCACAGCAGCCTTGCGTTGCAGCCAGGGTGCAGCAAGCCACAGCCAAGGCCAGAAATCTGCAGAGTGTCCAAGGAGGAGAAAGTCTAGGTAGAAATCAACCAAAAACAAAGCAGAAGCTAAAGGGCAGACAGTGCAACTTCCAAGACAAAGACTTAGCGAAAACTTATGAGACTTATGAGACGATAATGGGTAAGAATAAAGAAGTAGAACATGAAGAGGGGCCTTCCATCACACTGATAGCGATAACCAGTTCTTTACTGAGGAGGAACCAGATACGATGTGGGAACCTGCTGTCTATACTTTAAATGTAATGGACCATAGCCAGGTATAGTAGGAGAACCACGCACTTGTCCTTTGATCAAATCCAGAATGCAAAACCTTCTCTGCAAGGTACTGTTCATGGAGTTATCTGAACAGAAAAGACCTTACTTAATCATTTAAGTCAAGATTCAATTGCTCTAGGTGGTCAAATCAATAAGCTGCACTGCCCTTATCGCTTACAAAATCCTGCCTTCTGTCTGGGCATGTTATGAGTTAGACAGGGTTACATGTCATATCTGTGCAGAGTTTTTCACTGCAGCAAAATGTAGGAATCAACATAAATGTGTACCAATAAAATGCTAATAAAAAGATTGTTCATCCAGGCAATGGAATTCTATGCAACTATTAAAAAAGGGAGTGAAGAAGTGCTCCAAATAAGGATGTGAAAGATCTAAGTCATAGTAAGTAGAGAAAAAATGCAAGATACAGAACAATGTATACATACAACAGGGTACCTTGTAAAATGACAAGAGAAAAATAAGAATATACATTTTAGTTTACATAACACTAACACATTTGTTGGTCAATTCCATGCTTATAACTGGCTGTTCAAGTCTGTATTACTATATGAATGGGTTTCTCCATAGGCCCTTAGAACTGAAATATATAGCTCCTTGATTTTTAAACACATAGAACACTTATGCATTTTATTTATTTATATATTTACTATTAATTATTTTTTTGAGATGGAATCTTGCTCTGTCACCCAGGCTGGAGTGCAACGGTGTGATCTCTGCTCACCACAACCTCCTCCTTCGGGTTTCAAACAATTCTGCCTCAGCCTCCAGAGTAGCTGGGATTACAGGCGTGCACCACCACGCCTGGCTAATTTTTTTGTATTTTTAGTAGAGACAGGGTTTCACCACGTTGGCCAAGCTGGTCTCAAACTCCTGATCTCATGATCCGCTGGCGTCAGCCTCCCAAAGTACTGGGATTACAGGCATGAACCATGCCCAGCCTTGTTTTTGTAATTAATTAACTGTTTTTTATTGAAACAGAGTCTCATTCTGTTGCCCAGGCTGGAGTTCAGTGGTGCCATCTCAGCTCACTGCAACCTCCACCTCATGGGCTCAAGCGATTCTTGCGCCTCAGCCTCCTGAGTAGCTAGGATTGTAGGCGCCCATCACTGCTGTCAGCTAATTTTTGTATTTTTGGTAGAGACAGGGTTTTGCCATGTTGGCCAGACTGGTCTCAAACTTGTGACCTCAAGTGATCCGCCCACCTTGGCCAAAGTGCTGGGATTACAGGCATGAGCCACTGCACCGGCCCACATATGCATTTTTTAAAATCATGTGTGAAAAAGCACTGGGCTTTTGTGTCTTCTTCTACATGGCTACACATAAAGCCTTGGAGAAGCCTGAAGCTGTTGCTGGAAATTATGTAAGGCAATGACACACTTTAGCTGACCTGATTCCCTGAAGTCTGAGGAAGACACTGCCCTGCAGACACCATACCACATCACCAGGCCCCAGTCCAGTCCCAGACCTTGTATAAAGAACCCAGTATCATCAGCTGTGTTTCCATACATATTCCTTATATACACATAAAGAAACGCTGCAAGAATACCCAATAAGCTACCGTTACTAATATTTATCTTTGAGGAAGAGAGAAGGGAAAACTGGTTTCTAGGATACAGGGGTGGGAGATTGTACTGTATACCCTTGCTATATGTGTAAAATTTTGGAACTATGTTAATACAATCCTGTTAAGAAACAAATTTTTAAGATCATGAAGTTAATAACACCACCAAGGTTACCGCAGGATGGCCAGAAGCCCGAGAAAGAATCGTGGGAGGAAGTCCCTATCAAGGGCACAACATCAGGAATTGGGGTGGATAGCAGCTAACAGAGAATCCCACAAGTCCTGGGAACCCACCAATCCAGACCTGCCTCAAACTGGTAACCCAGTTACCCTTGTTCCCAGAAATACAGAGAGTGAAGAAATGAGGAAAGGGGGGCGGGGGGGAGGAGTCCACAGCAGTGCTGGCAACGCCAGCCTGTGAGTAAACTGTGGCTGAGTCATGTTGCAAATCTACAATCCATGCCTATACTCTGCTTATTCTGCTTGCATTGGTTTACAAGGAAAGAATGCTTCCGAAAAAAACTCTATTCTTGTCTCAGCTAAATTGAGAGAAAGGGATTTTCCACACCTCTGTCCCAATACACCATTTCCAGTGGAAGTTGGCAGACGCTTCCCTACTTAAAACTCACCCTCCCCCCGCCAAAAA